CAGTCCCGAAAGCCTGACCTGCAGCTGTCCCCAAGGCCTGGCATGTAGACACCCCCCCAGCCCAGGCCTGGGTGTGCCCCCGCCCCTAGACCAAGCTGCCTAATCCAGGCATCAGCATGTGGGGCCTCACCAGGCACAGTGCCCTGAGCAGGAGGTTTCTACCCTCAGAAGGAATCCAGGTTCTGTTTGAGAGAAGAGTCCAGACAGAATTGGGAATCTCCCAGGAGTCCCAGCCCAGCTCAGTCCAGCCCAGAGGCAGGTGGGACGGTCCACACGAGCACCTGACCAGGCCCCCGGGCCTTCCACCTGGGTCATCTCCTGTTGCAGACAAGCCTGCCTCCCCTTCCCAATGCTATTTTCTTGGCAGGAATGACTTACTGCCTCCCTTCTCCACCAGGTGGGCTCCTACACACCCTCCAATACCCAGCTCAGACTGCACCTCCTCTGGGAAGCCTTCCCTGCCCCACCCTTTGGGGTTAACTGCTCCGTCCTACTCCCAGAATGCCTTGCACTCCCCTCCTCCACTGCCCACACCACTCTGGATTATGATCACGACCACCTGTCCATCTCCTACTGAACTCCAAGTTCCTTTGGAAGATGGGAGCTGCGTCTTCATGACCTGCCAGCCCCTCACTCCTTCCAGCAGCGGGCACATACCAGGTGCCGAATCGATCAGGGAAGCAGTGAAGGAGAGAAAAGTAAAGTGAACTCTGTCCTGCAGGAGAGTCTGAAAGGAGTAGGCTGGTAGAATTGGTGGCACAGGAACAACCCAAATGAGCTGTTCTCTACTGAGCACACAGCACACGTTATACATGGTCTCTGGCTTGGTCCTTGTGACAATGCCATGGGGCTGGGCTCATCCCTGCTCCACAGGAGACTGAGGGTCTCAGGGAAGAGAGATCTGCCCAACGTCAGGCAGCAAATGACACAGCTGGGTTTCAACCCGGGTTCGAAGCCTCCGGATCACACTCTGTGCCACACCCCCAGGGGCCAGAGGGATGGGTGAGGAGGAAGTCAGAGCCAGAGCTACCAACTCAGAGCCAAGCCCAGGCTGCTGCTGAGTTCTTCAGCCAGGGACCATCTCCCCAACCTCACTGCCGCGGGGCCACCTCCTCTGCCTGGCCACCCACAGAGGGCTGGGAGGCCAAGGGTGTGGACAAGGGCAGGAGCAGCCAGGCTGGCTGGCAATGAGCAGGGCCTGGAGTCAGGGCAGGACAGCCACAGAGGGACCCCTAGGCAGCCGGCACTCTTCTTTAAAATGTTTTTTTTTTTTATGTTTTATT